TAGTTAACTGTAAGGTCAGCAGTTCAAGCTCACCAGTTGCTCCTCAGAAACCCTATACAAGGTTGCTATGGGTCAGAACCGACTTGATGGTACTTAACAACATAAATATATATGTAGAGAGAATGTCATTTCACAGGAGCCCCAGCAGCACAACAGGTAAGCAGTTGGCTACGAACTGAAAGATGGTGGCTTGAGCTCACTAGTAGCTTCACAGGAGTAAGACCGGGCCATCTGCTGCCTTCAAGAGCTTTGTTGTGAGTGCTGTTGAGTTGATGCCGTCCCACAGCAAGCCTACGTCCAACAGAAGGAAACACTGCCAGGGTCCTGTTGCATCACCACTGATAAGTTTTGAGCCCACTGTTGCAGCTACTGTTTCAGACCATCTTGTTGAGGGTCTTCCTCTTTTTTTGCTGACCCTCCGCTTGACCAAACATGAGATTCTTCTCTAATCACTGACCGGCTCCTCCCGATAACATGTCCAAAGTCTCTTCATTTTTAAGGCGCATTCTGGCTGTGCTTCTACCAAGACAGATTGGTTTGTTCTTCTGGCAGTCCATTGTCTTCTTCATCAACACCATGCCTTCAAAGCCATCAGTTCTCTGGTTTTCTTTATTCATTGTTCAGCTCTTGTGTTCATATGACGCAATCAAAAATATCATGGCTTGGGTCAGGCATACCTTAGTCTTCAAAGGAACATCTTTGCTCTCTAACACTTTACAGAGGTCTTGTGCAGGTTTGCCCAAGGCAATGCATCCTTTGATTTCCTGACTGCTGCTTACCTGAGTGTTGATTGTGGATCCAAGTAAAATGAAATCTTCAATATTGAAACTTTGTGGGAACAGTTCTACTGTCACATGGGGTCGCTGTGTTGAAATCGGCTCAACAGCACCACCACTTCCTTGGGATAGGATCACTTAGGACAAGAGTTTTTTATCTCCCATGCAGGAGACCTGGGTTTGATTCCTGGTCAATATAACTCATTTGCAACTACCACCTGTCAGTGGAGGCTTGTGTGGTACTAGGATGCCAAACACCTTTCAGTAGGGCATCTAGGCGAGACAGAGTAGGATGAAAGGCCTGGTGATTCACTTAGAAAATCCCAGGATCACAACAATCTGCAACTGATGTGGGGACAGTGTGGTACCAGTGTCTCCTTCACATGTGGGTGTGGCAGCTGTGAGTCAGGCTGGCTCAATGGCATCCAGCAACACTGCTTAGCTGACAAGGCTAAGCCAGGCAGACAAACTGATCAAGCATTAATTGGTCTGGGTGGGAAGGGTTGGGCAGAATCCTCCCCCACCAGGAAACCCTTGGTGTACTTTCCCTTTGTATTGCTCAGCACAGCCACCTAGTTATTTGTCCACTGGTCTGGCACACGTTGGGCAACGGGGCAGAGGGGAGGTGGGAGGAATCTCTGCCCTCTGTCCTCCAGATGCTGCTAGTGGAGTTCTACAAGGGTGCTCCTGACCTCATCAGATTTCAGGACCCCTGGAATCAGGAGCACACCTACTTGGACAAGCTGAAGGTGAACATCTGGGCCCCTACCCCAAGTCTGGAGTCCTAATGCATTCCCCTTCTAAAGACAGTTTGGGGGAGCCCCCAAGCCTTTATCCACCTGGGGTTTGACATCAAGTGACTTAATTTCCTTTGTTCTGTACCAAAACTTTGTGCTGGAAATCAGGAGGATGGCTCTTACTTAGTCACACTGGTTAGTCTGCATGGGGGCAGGGAGTACCTGGAATCCTGACTTGGTGCCTCAAGCTCAGGGTACTTTTAAGTTTCTCTGCAGGATGCTGGCTATTTAAATGAAGGTGGGGTGCCCACCCAGTTTGTTTCCTGCTTAAAAGTTTCAGTGGACTTTGCTTTGCGTAGACACGCTTCCATGCACCCCAGTGCTTTCCGGTGGCTGGGTGGTTTGGCACATTGGCGTTTTAGATCCAGGATGTGGAATCCGCATAGGATTCGCCAGCCACTCATACCCTGCCCCACCTTCCCTGAGCCCCCTCTCTGTTGCAGATCTCCCTGGCCAGCCGGACACCCAAGGACCCAGGCCTGTGCCATGTGCTGGAGCAGGTTTACAGTGTCCTCAAGCAGGGCAGCTGACCATGGCATGGTTCCCGATGTCCTCCCATTCCCACGTGGCTCAGCCATCAGCGGGAGCCGCTCAGAGAATAAAGACCAAGAGCAGTCACTCCCTAGTTTCTCATTGTGTCAGGGGACAGGGAAAGGGGGGGGCTTCCACCTGGGTCTGGAGCCAATATCAAGGGGCGCATGGCCCCGCCCCCAGGGTGTGGCCTCTACATCAGGCTCTGGAATCAGTAGTTCCCCTACTGTAAAAGGCAGTCTTGGGGATGGGGACACAGCATGGACAGAATCCCAATGTGCCCCCACCCCCCGCGCTGACTCTAGGGAATGACCCTGAGCCACTGTAGTGCTTCTGAGCGTACGCACACGTCCAGGAGCCTGTGGGTGGTCGCCAGATAACACGTGGCCACGTGGGCTCCTCCCTGGTGCAGGCAGTAGGGTCCCATACCAGGACAAAGCCACAGAGCATACAAAGAGACGTTTAATACTTTTAAAAACTCAGGGTTCCATTTCCATGTGCCCCAGTGATGAGTTGCGGTGACTGAGGCCACGCTACTCTCTGCTGTCTGCCCCATAATGGTCAGGGGGGACACAGGAGGGTTCCCGAGGAAGACCATGGAGTGGGGAATGTGGGTGTGGAAAGGCCCAGAGCTCTTTCCCCCACAGCCCATTGGCTCAGGCCGGGAGGCTAGTGAGCAGTGGGGCCTGCCCTTGGGCATGTTCTGAAGTGGGCTGTGGTCCTGTGTAGTATGTATATAGGGGGGATGGGAGGGAAGGGGGGAACGAGGTGTGTAGCTGGCAGTGGCAGCTCCGTCAGAAACACCTCCTTGTGCTTGGCAGGGATAGCAGAAGTGGTGAGGGTACAAACTGGAGAGTGCCAGTGCAGGGGGAGATAGAAGCCCCCCCTAGAGATAACAGCGGGAGGGCTGTGGAGATGGCTGGCTGGGGGTGGGGCAGGTCCTAGCTAGGAGCCAACAGGCCAGGAAGGAAGCTGTGTGGTGGATTTAAAAACCAAACCTGGGGCGGTGCATTGTGGCTCACTCAGGTGGGTAAATCCCATCCCCTTAAGGCGGGGTGGGGGGTGGGCCCCTGAGAGAAGGGTCCACCTGGCACCCCAGGGGAGGAACGTTAGTGTTTCAAAGAGCACCTTAGGGTCAGCCCCGCCAGGGGGTCCGACCAGGCTGGGGGTGGAGCCAGCGAGCAGAAGGAGACAGATGGCCTGCCCCCAAAAGGCGTAGTGGGTCGCGAGCCCACCACGGAGGCGGAAACCCCTGTAAACTGCCCTGTTCAGGAAGACCCAGGCCACATGGGCCATGGGCAGTACCTCGGGTGACCCTGGGGGAACGAACCTGGAGGGGACAAGTCTGGGGGACCACCCCACTGTGGGGCGAGACAGCGCAGGGCTGGGTCACTGTGGCAGCGGCACCAGCACCTCCACATAGCTGAGTGGGAAGAAGCCTGACTGGCCGTTGAGCATGCCCTCGTACCAGTTCTCATCGATCTGGTTGGTGAGCGTGATGACGTCGCCCTCACGGAAGCCCAGCTCGCCATCATTCTCAGGCTCAAAGTCGTACAGGGCCTTGCAGCTTGGCTGGTCCAGGGGCGCTGGTGGGAGTGAGTGGATCAGCATGACATAAGGCTCCAGTCCTACTGCTGGCTGACCACTCTGCCCCATGCCTGGTTTCCTCTGGGAACCCTTGTCTGTTCTCACTACTGGACAGGGGAGGGGACAGAGCTGTGTAGACTGTCACAGCTCCTATGGGTGAATACGAGGCACCACGGCACCGGATGGTATCGCATGCTGAGATGTGATGTGGGTTCTTGTAGCACTCCGACCCCCGGGCTGACACCCTTTTCTTGAGAGTAGAGGAGCGCAGGGCAGGGCTGAGTGGCCTGAACAGCGGAACACACATCTAAAGGGGTCAGGGAGGGCCCCCCAAGTCCCCAGGGACACTCACGCATAATTCTGCTGGGGGTCCGGATGGGCTTGTCAGAAGATCGGAAGGATGAAGACGCTGAAAACCAGACAGAGGCAGTGAGCGAGTATGTGGGCACCGACAGGGCCCTTGACTGGGTCTCCACACAGACAGCAGAGGGGGCGGGACTCCCCAAAGGCTCTGGCATGGTACTAGCACCAGGCCACCTCCGGCTCCATGCCCCGTCTCCGACGCCCCAGGCCATTCCTTACCTGTGATCTTGGGGGCTGTAGCGCAGGGGAAGCCCCCGTTGGACTGCTCTGACTCGCCAAGGTCATAGGGTTCCCGGGGCTTGGGCTTGTACTCTCGCTTGGGCCGGGAAGAGGCCTCACGCATCCTGCTAGGAAAGAGCCCGGGGCCGCGCCAGGCCGGGTGTCAAGACAAGAGCAATTCCCGGAGGTACGACTGAGGCCCCAGCAGTGTCCAGGGCCACACTGGATGCCTCCAGCCAGGGTGGGATTCTGTTGAGACCCATGATGTCAAATTGGACTTTGAGAGCCCTGTTTAGTTCTAAACTTGTATCCGAGGAGTGGTACATGGCGGTTTTAGTAGGAAAGCTTTAGAAAACAGCCCCAGGTTTGGGGAAAGTGGGAATTTGTAGCTGGGAAGGGCCGGGGCGGCTCACCTCCGCTTGAGCTTGTCGGCCAGCTCGTCTAGGATCTGCACGGCTTGCCTGTGATAGTCCAACTGTGCGTCCACCAGCGCTGACAGCTGACTCACCTGTTCGATCTACGGACCAGGCGGGGTTGTGGGAGAGAGGCCAGGGTCCGCCCTCCCGGCACTCCCCGCCCATCACTGTGTGCGCAGGCTCTGTGTGGTAGGTAGGCCACAGCACCTCCCAGCCCACATACGTCGGTCTCCAGGAGGTTGTGCATGCTGGTCTCAGCCACCTCCTTAGACTCCTCGAACTTCTCCAGGGCCTGGCGCAGCTCCTCATCGGGAATCCTGCCCTGCCGCTTCTTCTTGTAGTCGAAGTCGAGGCGCCGGCCCTCCAGCTTCTTCAGGTGGTGCTGGGGCACAGGACGGTGGTTATGTCACTCCACAAGTTCCCGGGCAAGGGTCCCTCTGCTCCCTCTGGCCGGAGCCGGGACAGTTGCATCCAGGTTGGGGCTGAGAGTGTGTGCCAGTTCAGCAGCTGGTGACAGGCGGGTTCAATGGTGTGCACACATGCATGTGTGGAGTGTGCATGCAGGAATGTGCACTTGTGGGCTGTGAGTGTGTGTATAAGGGGACTTTAAAACGTTGGTAAAAAAATTCCTTTCCCTTTTCATCCCATTTTTTTCATAAACTTTTGGAAACTCCCTCCTATGTGTGGGCCTATGGGTATATGTAGTGAGTGTGCATACGCACGTGGAGTGTGTACAGAAGCGTGTGGCATGAGCAGGCAGGGGCGGTGCTGAATCAGGGCCTACTGCTGGCTGCCGGATGCCTAGGACCAGGACTGCCTGGGGTCTCCACAGGTAGAGGCAGCTGGCACAGGCCCCTCCCATGTCAGCAGAGTCTGAGAACAGAACCAGGCGGCCAGCTTTGGTGAGGGGATGAGCACCTGGATCTCCTTCAGGTCCTTGTCACACAGGTTCTGAAGGGGGTCGATGAAGTTCTGCTTGACCTCGATATCCAGAGAGTCCTTCACCTCGGCCAGGCGCTTCATGGACTCTCCTGCATCCAGCAGGGCATCGCCTGGGGGTAGGGAGTGACCAGCACACGGGCTTCTATTCCACCACCAGCCAAGAGCCAAAGCCAACCCAGCCCACTGCTGTCCAGTGAGTGTAAATCACGGCAACCCTGTCTGGGGCAATCTTCCCAGAAGCACAAAGCCTCAGCTTTCTCCTGAGGAACAAGCTGCTGGGTTTGAACTGCCAACCTGGAGACTAACAGTCCAATGCCTAACCCACAGTGCCAGCAGGGCAGCCAGGCTCAGGGGGCCAGAATTCAGAGAAAACAACAATGCCATTGGCATCAAGTGAGTTCTAACTCCTGACAACCCTGCAGGGCAGAACTGCTCCAGAAGGCTTCCCAGGCTCTAAGGCTCTGTAGAAGCTGAAGGCACCATCCTTCTCCCGGGCGCTTAGCCACTGCGTCACCAGGGCGCCAGAGAACACAGAGAGCCCTAAAACACGCCCCTGTTGTGGGAGGGGGCAATGGGCAGCACTGAGAAAGTTCTGGAGCGCACCCCTCCTGACCTCCCACTGACCTCTCAATGTCCTGTGGGCCCCTATGGGACATAGGCTCAGCTGGCCTCTCAGCCCTGGCACACATGGGGACACTTCAGCCTCTGAATGACTCCAGTGAGCTCAGTGCTGGGGGGGTGTTTGCTGAGTTAGTGACCCAGGGGTGAGGGCCCCTCACCAAAGTTGGACTCGCCGCCCAGCTCCTTGCCATGGCGGGTCATGCACTCGCCCAGCAGGCCCTCTGACTGGGGGTAGCCGGGGTTTTTCACCTGGCCGCGGATCTTGGACACCGTGTTGAGCATAGTCAGCTTGGCTCGAGATGCTGAAACAGTATGGGGACAGGTGGGTATAGTGTGGCGGCCTCTGGAGGGGACCCCAGGCTGCTCCCTTTCCCCCATTATCAGGAAGTTTTCCTCCAGCCCAAGGGACCCAGACAGGAGGGTGGACTGTCAGGCTCCATCTGCCACCAAAAAGCAGTGGGGGGGGGCCTCCTCTATGGCTTCTCCCCTTCCCCTTCTTGAGCCTAGCAGCCCCTTCTCCTGCCTTGGCCCCTTGGCTGCTCTGGCAGAGACCTCCTTAAGGGAACATCTGACCTTTGGCCCTCTGCCCAAGGGCAGCACCCCTGCACTGGACTCTTGCTCAGCCCCAAGGACCGTGGCTACAGGCCTATGGGACTAAGACTGGGCACCCCGCTGAGACTCCAGGAGTGAGCTGAAGAAAGATGGGTCAGGCGTGCTGCAATGGCTGCAAGGAGCCAGCCCAGAGGAGGAACCTTCAGGAGGACATCCAAGAGGCTCCTGGATCCAGCTGTACCTGCAGCCCAGCTTATCTGGGTATTTCAGTTCTGGGAGCCTATCTATCCTGTTTGCATGTCACAGCCATCAGAAGAGTCCCAAGGAATACAGAGGCCCCTGCTGGTGACTGGTACCCTACCTGGGTTAGGCTGGAGGTACTCAATGGTTCTGGCCAGCACCTCTATCACGGCCTTGCTGGTGACGTCCACTTTCTATAGAGAGGAAATGTGTGAGTTTCACATTAGGGCACCCAAACCAAGAGCAACAGGCATCTGGATGCTCCCTCACAAGCCACCCAGGAAGAACCAAGGCTGGCTTTGGAGGCTGCCCAGGTCTGAGGTAAGACCTTATACCCACCATGCCCACCTGATTTGCATCCCTCCCCCAACACCAAGCTCCTTCACCCATCTCTCTGGCCTATCCCCATCCCCTTGGATTGGGGGCTCTATTGAGACTGAGAGAGAGATGTGTGTCATCCACTGCCCCACCCGCCCTATGTTTGGTGCATCAGGAGGAAACACAAGACTTCGATGTCACCTTTTCCATTTCTTTGAAGTCATCGTCAAGTTTGGTCCCCTCGGCTCCACCGACTTTCTCACTGACCAGCTAGAGGGCAGAAGGGAGAAACAGTGTGAGCCTTGGAGGAGACAGAGTAGGGCGTACATACAAGACACCTCGTCCCCAAAACAGGTCTCGCTGCCGAGGCAGCCCAGGGACCAGAAGTCACGTCAGAGCTGGGGCCCACCTCCACACACTTTGGCCCACCAAGCTGGGAGCCCCCAGGGCAAGGCCTCATCCTGGTCAGTGGCATCTGATTACACAGGAAACATTCGGATGTGCCAGATGTTAGTCCAGGACCAATGCTCAGAGGCCCAGGAACCCCCAACACACTTCACAGCAGAGCAGAGGTTACACTTGGTAGGTGGGGCTCTAAGGATAACAAAGCTGACCGTTTGGGGCACACGCTGACCCAGACTTGGAGGCTTAGAGCATGGCCTTATTCTCCAAGGTCTATAGTCAATCTTCGTAATAAACTGTAAGGCACCAGTGAGCTAATGGCAGCAGGGGATGCTCACTCCCAGGGAGAGCGGGGACTTCCAAGCCTCTCTTCTCTAGAGTTGCACTTACAGGACAGCGTGCTGGGTGGGCAGGGGAGAGTGCCGAAGCCACAACTGTGCCTGTTGTGTGAGTGCGGGAAGTGCCTGGAACATGGCACAACCAACACTAACACCAGTGTCCTGGTGTCCCAAACAGCTCAAGATGGCGGGCGCCACAAGGAGGAATGGGGTAGTTGTGACCCAGGGCTGTTCCAGGCAGTGTCTGCATATCACACACCTGCACGGGTCCACTCTTACCCTCCAATTCCTGCTCTTCTCCAGAGCCCCTGCCCTGACACCAACTCTGTCCCCCTTGTTAGGACCCTCCTGGAGTTCCTAAAGTTCTGGGCAGGCACCAGCACCCACAAAAGCAGAGGCCCCAGGCAGGCACGAGCTTGGCCTGCCTTGCGGGGGTCTGGCTCTGCTGCCTTCTCCTGGACACCTGTTTCTCCTCGGTAAAGTGGGATGATAGGTACCCCCTTAGGACTGTTGTGAGCACTGGGTGGGCTTGAGCTACCAGCTCATGCCTGCCTCCAGCACCTCTGCTGACTGTGAACTATCTTCCTTGTCCCTAGGCCCGTGGGGTCCAGATGTGGGTGGGGTTAAGGGATAGGTGGTTCTCTGTTCAGTCACCCCTCAAGCCCCATCCCAAGAGAGGACTTGGCACAGGAGAGTGGCGTCCCTTGCAAGGGAGGGCAAGATGGAAGCAGGGCTCATGTGGGGGGCTCATGTACGGTCTGGGGAGGTGCTGAGGGGGTTGTACTCCCATGTCTGCTGAATGAATCAGAAGGAAAGACCCCAGTGTGTCCCCCAGGGTTTCTGGGTGTTCCACTTTATTTCACAGGCTGGTTTCACTTCTTTTGATGGTGGTAAAACAGGCAGTCCTCAGTACAGAGGAAGCCAGGGGCCGCGGGAGCCGGGACTCTCTTGGGGAGGGGGAGGGGAGGGGGAAGGAAAGGGCCACCGAGTGTGGAACCGCACCTTCCTGCTGGCATAGGCACTGGCCTCATGGGAGGGAAGTGAAATAGGAGCCCTGGGGCATGTGGCACCAAGATGGCCAAACCACCTCTGCAGACTGGCCTTCTGGAGCCTCCACGACCCTTTACAAGCCCATGAGGCTAGACTGTGCTGTCCCTCCCAGAGGTGAAGCGCTCAGCTCCCAACCGAAAGGTTGACAGTTGGACCTCGCCCAGTGGCTCCTCGGAAGAAAGGCCTGGCAATCTGCTCTGATAACCTAGAAAGTGCTACAGGACAGACCTCCTCTGTCACCTGAAGTCCCTGTGAGTCAGAAATGGCTCCTCAGAACACACCTCCCCGAGCCCTCAGGCACCCACCTATCTATCACAGCCTTCGCTCACCTGTGAGCCCGTCCCCCAGGTACAGAGCCCCACTGGACAGAGGGACCCCTGTGAGCTGGGGGACTCACAGCAAGGGGTGGGGACACCGACTTGAGAGGAAGCTGCTCTGTGCACAGGCCCTGGGCCCTGACCAACATGGACTCCACATGGCTATGGGTGAGTGGCAGGGACACAAGGCATGTTTCGGGGGACTCCAGTGAGGCTCACAGGCAGACCCTGAGTACGCGCTAGTGGCCAGGAAGCTCTGGGTTTGGATGTGATAACAGGTTTCTCTATAGGCCAGTGCTGTCCCTCAGGGAGGAACAAGCTAGGTGGTCAGCCGGATGAGGAGACGTGCACATGCTTCTAGTATTATGAGAGCAGCAGCCGCAGTTACGGGCCTGACACCGCCCTGTGTGAGGGTCCACCTCACACACCTCACTATCCCGTGCTCATCTTGACTGCCAGGCCCCATGTCCACTGTCGCCCCACCCCCACCCGGGACTGCCACTGTGGTGGAGACCCAGCACCCACTGGCCATCTGAGGACTCCTGTCTCAGGTCTGAGTCACCAGCAGTGGGCTGTCAGGACACCCACAAGGGCACGATGAAGCTAATGCCTCCTCTCCCTGGGGACAAACATTGCCCAGACTCGAGAGAGATCCAGATGCCAGCTTGTGCAGGTAGACTCCCTGTGTCAACTTAAAAGGCATAGGGGACAGGGCCGGGCTGCCCCACGGGTAAAGCGGACCAAGTGGCCAGGTCAGAGCCTTGCACCCAGCAGGGCTCCAAACCACAGAAATGGATTTGTTCATGGTTCTGGAGGCAGGCCCAAAGGCAGGGATCAGAACTGTCCAGGGGAGATACTTCCCTTGCTTCTTTAGCTCCTGGTGGCCCCGGAGACCCTTAGTGTTCCTGCTGGGTTGGTGGCATTCCAATCTCTGCTGTCTCTCTTCATAAACACACGCTTCCTTCTACTCTACCCCCTAGGAGGCCTGGGGTAGTGGTAGAGGTCAAATGGTGAATGAACGCACCTATCTCTAACTAGAGCCCACTCAGAAGTGCCGTGGAACAAAGGCCTGGTAATGTACTTCAAAAAATCAACCACTGGAACCCTATGCTCTGATACATGTGTGGTCGCCATGAGTCAGTGCCGGTGACCTCATCTTAACTCATCACTACCCCAAAAAAACCCTCTTTCCAAACAAGATAGCCGCTATGTTCACATGCCCTGGAGTGAGAACTTCCAACACATGTGCTTGGAGGACATGGTTCAACTCCAGTGGTACAACCGTAGCCGGGCTCTTGCTCCAAAGGCTAAGCTGGGCACTGTGGGAGGCTCCCATCCTCTTCACCTGCCCTGCTGTGAGCTGCTCCCATCGGACCAGACCACAAAGCCTCCATTCTACCCTGCCTCATGGAGATGTAAGCAGGGTTTAACCTGACACAGGAACTTGCGTGCACACACATGTGCACCTGTGAGCATTAGTAACAAAGACCAGGTGGAGAGGAGAGAGGAATGTGACACGCAGGAGGGAAAGAGAGGCATCCAAAAAATGCTGCCATGTGCCACGGGCAAGGCAGGCAGGCAGGCAGCGCAGGACAAGGAGGGAGGGATAGTTCCTCTGCTCAGACCAGCACATCTGTGGCAGGCACATGGCAAGGTGTCGGATGGAAGGCCTGCCAGTCACTCAGTCATCTCAGTAGGGAAACCCAACCAAGGAGACAGGGAAAGGATACAGTCTCTGACAGTGCAAGAAACTGGCTTCCATGAATTAAGAGTTGTTTTTGAAGCCAAGAGAGCAACTGGCACAGAGGAGGATCAGGGATAACCAGGGCTGCTCAGGTACCACGAGAGGGTGACAATAGTGAATGTGCTCAGCTCATCACCCTGCAGAGGTCTGTGTCCACCTGGAGGTGTCTTGAAAAAAGGCAATCTAGTTTCAAAAAACCCCACCACTAAGAACCACTGGGTTTCCTGTCGTTGCCTCTGTCTGGGTAGGTCAGCTTCTGCAGCTGAGGCAGCGGAGCAGTGGCAAGCAGCTTCTCTGCTGGTCTCTGGTGTGCGAGGCAGGAGGCAAGGGTCGAGGTCACGTCAGGCCAGGCCAAATGGACAGAGCCAGTATTACAGGTAAGGAAGGGTAGGCGGCCATTCAGAATGAAACATGCCACAGATGTGTCACCCCCACACCATGAAAGACAGGGAAACTGAGGTGTTTGGTCTGGGACCCGAACCAGGCCTGTCTACCTCAGGCCAGCTGACCGCCTCACTCTGTGCTCCTTGTCTGCGGCCTGATTGGGAATTAAGAATAGGGGAGCTGAAGGTCTGCCTGAAGGGGCTGCAATGAACCAGATTTTGGCTGGGGGACAGGAAGAGATGTGAAGGAACACAGAGGGTGGATGTGTCTTTAAGACCCCTTCCAGCTTTGGACGCCTCTCCCAGCTGGCCTCCCAACATCTGGAGGGCTTCATGCCAAGCACAGCCATGGCAACAGCTTGTGTTTCCACCCAGCCTTATTATTCTCTGTAAGTCACAATCAGGAGCAGCCTGGCTCCTCCTCACCAGAAGCCTCCTGGATGACCACCCCGGTACCCCAGCTCTTTCCAGGAGTCCCTGTAGTCTGGGAACACTGCTCTTCCAAGTCAGATTAGGCAGTCCAAGGGTGTCTCTGTCCCCACCCCACCCAGGGACCCAGGGTCTGGGTCCTAGCAGCATGGAGACTGAGTACTGGGAGAGGCACAGGGTGGGAGGAGGGGCTTGGGATGGGGTGGGGTGGAGGTGCAGGTGGGAGGGCTCCAGCCAGCAGCCTCATGGCCTGGGGAGCAGGCAGGTGGGAGGGCGGTGGCTCTCAGGCCAAGCAGAGACTGATCATTGTGGACTCGATAGAGTGTGCCGAGACACCAAGGAGAGGATGTCCTTGGAACATCCTCAGACATGCTGGGAGTTATGGATGCCTGGGTCTGTCTGCAGGGACCCCCCAGACCGCACCTCCTCTGTGCCCAGTTCTCCCTGTTCCCAGAGCAGCTTCCGTGTAGGCAACTGGGAAGTGACACCTTTAGAGGAGGCTTGAGAAATTCTTGTGCAGTGGAATGCCCCCTCTCGGGCCCCAGGCCCCCAGTCCGGTATAGGGGACAGGACTGCCCCATAGACTCAGCTCCAGGGCACACTCAGG